TAGTTTATTTTTATATTTTTTTCTTTTTCTTTATTGAGACAGGGTCTTGCTCTGTTACCCAGGCTAGAGTGCAGTGGCATTGTTGTAGCTCACAGCAACCTAAAACTCTTGGGCTCAAGTGATCTTCCTGCCTCAGCCTCCGAAGTAGCCAGGACCTACAGGCATTCACTGCTATGCCCAGCTAATTAAAGAAAATATTTTTTTTGTAGAGACAAGGTCTCACTATGTTGCTCAGGCTGGTCTCAAACTCCTGGCCTCAACCGATCCTCCCACCAGGTCTTCTAGAATTATAGGCATGAGCCACTGTACCCAGCCTTATCTATATTTTTAAATATATTTTTTGGATAGGTAATACATTCACATGTCAAGAATTACAAAAAAGCCTACACTAAAAAAGTTCCCTCTCACTCCTCTCCTCCAGTCACTCAGCTCTAGATCAGTTTTAACACTAATTTCACACTGGTTTTCCTACTTCCTCACTTGTATTCTTACTTGGTAATTTGTAGAACCATTTCATTTTCCTCTAAAAACACTGATACCTAGAGCTCAAAATATAACATTTCCAGACCTGCCCCACTGGTAACCTAAAATCCTAACTTTTAAAAAGAAAAAAACCAGGTCCGTCCAGTGCAATGCACACTCTACCCCCATTATAGGGAAGCGCTTACTCAGAGAATCGTCCCGGGACATTATACCTCCATCAGGTTTCTCAAAAAATATGGAAGCTGCAAAACCCTGCCACAGTTCAGGCTAAAATCTGAAGCTGCAGGGAAACCACCAAGCAGGAACCCTTTGCACCCTGACTAAGGCTTGCAGTGAAGTGCTTGCTGCTGGTCACGGGGTATCACCCTTGTGATACCGGGGCTCATCTCCCACTGACATCAGTGTTTCCCCAAGTTCTGCATTTGCAGCTAATCTTAAATGCAGGGAGGGGGAAGGTCTGGGAGAAGAGGGATAATCCACCAGAATATATAAAGCCCAGTTTGCTGCAGCCATCAAATGGCTATTTTGAATCACAATGTTCTAATCTCTGCATTTCTAATAAATCCTTATAACCTCCGATTAGAAAAGCAAGGGCTTTCTTTCTACAGGGAACTGACCCACATCACCTTAATTAAGTGGCCCTGAATTCATGAGGAAATTTACAGAAAAGGAATAGAAATTCCTAAGGGGAAGCTCAGATTTAGGAAGAAATAGTCAAAACCCTCAAGAAGCTCCAGTCAAATGCAGGTATAAGGCACTTGCCAGGTATTTTACTGCTCCATACACACCTGAAACATCAGGAAGTGCCACCAGCAGCCAAAGCACTCCAGAGGTTATCATGCCAGGTCTGGGAATACTACTGCCTTTGCAAGATTACTTCTATAGAAACCAAACTTGTAGCTAATCTTAGCTCAACTCAGAATTGGAAATAAGGTATGAAGGCAGGTCTCTGTGGTTACAAATCCATTCTCATTTACAATCTAAGTCACCAGATGGTGACTGCTGAATGGAGTTATTGGAATAGATGACGAGAGGGAAAATACGGTACATTTCTGGTTCTGACATAAGCCTAATTCCAAATAAAAATTAGACAACACAAAGCTGTAAATTACCATCTGACATCTTCTGTTCAGGACCCAACACCATGGTGGGTATCTGAGTGCCCAAGTTCTTGGAATAGGATTCTGGAAAGGAGAAAAGGGAGGGAGAATGAGCAAGAATATACTAACAAGTTCAAAACCAGCATTTTGTTACTCTCTATGACTGAACCCTTACTATGTGAAAAGAATAATTCTTCTACTGAATTAGATAACCTTGAAAATAATTACAGTTTTCAGAATATGATTAAGAGATATTTAACAAAAATAGAAAAGTCTTTAGTCACATTTTTGCTGGCAAGACTTCAAACCCAAATTGAAGCAAAGGTATTGTAGTGGGACAGACAAATACTTTTTAATAATCGTCCACAGAGAGGCTGCTAGGCAATTACCCATATCTGCCTTTGCCTCCAGATTACTCCAAACGTTTGAAACCAAACTGTTTTCCCCCAATTTTATGGACAAAGATCTACAACTGTCTTTGCTCTAACAATTTAAGCCCAAGGATCAACCTTCTGGAAAGAGTGGGGAAAAGCACCATACCAGCATACTAGTAGCGGAGCGCCACTATTTCGCAGCCTCAAATTTTCCTAAGGAAAGATTTCATCTACAATGTTCCAGGCCTCATTCTCCAACCCTCTGACAAGCAGGAAAAGAAACTAATCACCCATGGCCCAGCCCCTCCTGGGATCTCAAGGGGAGCCAAAGCACCAGCAGGATTAGGTCTGTGGGATTCCAGCACTTCCCTAGGTCCTACAAGTAACTTGCAGGGGTGTGGGGATGGAGGTGGGGGTGGGGTTCTCAGATGTCCAGCGTCTGTTAAGTGTAATTGGGGGGAGGGGGAGAGATTAGCAAGCCCATTTGGCCACAGATTTACGGCATATTCTCCAGTCAGCCTCAGCAATAAGGCTGATTTTGAACATTTCTATCTACTTATTATGGAAACTACTTATCAGTTCATTCCAAATTTAGAAGGAGAAGGACAAGGTAGTATGTATTCATTCCCCCCACCATTAAATCCCAATAACTATCCTACTGAAAAGGTGATGAAGCCTCTCTTAACCACCTTTTCCTGCTTAAATCTAGTCTCTTTTTCACTCTTGTCCCTTATGTTGCTCCTATCTGATCGACCCCCTACTTTCTTTTTTGCGTAAATCTATCTACCAACATAGTCTATACCTACCTGATAGAATTACAGAATTCAGATCTGAAAGAAGTTTTTAGGTTTACACCTGTCTTGTGATGTATAAAATACACCACCACCTCCTAATTTGGAAAACACAATCTTTCCTCTCTAGAGTTACTAATGTCAAGTATTATATTACAATGGACAGAAGGAGGCTTGGCCAAGTCTCTTGGCCAAGTCTCTCCTGCCACATTTTAAGCCACCAGATGGCTACACACGAGACCCCAATAACACTGGCTAAACCCAAACCCTATTTCAGCCAGCTATGATAGCACCTCATTCAATGGGATGTATATGTCTGACCACTCAGAGTACCAGCACTCCCTTGGATTCCAATCATAGCACAGCACCTTTACACTCCCCAAGGCCTTCTTACTTTTGTTTTACGTATAACTGTAATATGCCAGCTTATCAGGTTATCTTAACCTGCAATAAATTAGAAACTACAAATCAGATCTGGGACCCTAAGAGAAAATAAAATTTCAGGACCCTCCAAATTTATTATGCAAAGGGGCGAGTTAAGCCTGGGAAACCGAGTCACATAGCATGTTTGCAATTCTGCTTATACTTTAACTCTCTTCCTCATTGTTCTTCTGTAAATGACTAGGAGACACCAGAGACCAGACCTTCCCCTCTTCTAAGCACTGATCTTCGCTAGAGATTAACTGCCTCCTTTATTGTCCTATACCTAACTCAGAAGTGATGGTGTCCAAGACCCCATGACAGGCCGGGAGTAGTGGCTCACGCCTGTAATCCTAGCACTCTGGGAAGTTGAAGCAGGAGGATCACTTGAGGTCAGGAGTTTGAGGTTGCTGTGAGCTATGCTGATGCCATGGCACTCTAGCCCAGGCAACAGAGTGACACTCTGTCTCAAAAAAAAAAAAAAGCAGCTTTTTACTGGCAACATGAAGAATGAGTATCATTAGATTTTATTCAATCCATTTATTCTAATGACAGATATTGGCCCCCAAATGTAGACTGACTAAGTACATATTTTCCTCAGTTTCTTTTTTCAAAGCAAAGAAAGATTATATGTAGACAGATAACACATACTACAAGATACTAAGATTCTCCACCCTTGTACAAGCCTCCTTCTGGTCTTTAGAACCTACTAAAATTTTAATAATTAACTTGTAGCCTTCTCCTTTTGTTACCTAGTTTTAACAGACACCAGATTATTAGAGATGAGACCAAAACAAACAAAAACCCCACACAAAATGACCTGCCAGCAATAGTACAAAAACAAGACTGAGAAACCTAATTTCCCTACCTATGTCTTTAGTAGAAACTTTGGTCTTTATACTAGAAAATATAAATTACTCTGACCTTAAATTGAAAATGAAAGAGGAGTTACACAATAAATATATTTTTGTCATTCCTGGCCAATTGTTTTATATTCCATTCTGATTTCATTAAAATATACTTTATAATAAATATATGTTGATTCACTTTATCCAGAATATTCCCAATGATACCTGGATGGCTCTTCTTTCTGTTTCCGGAGGCCAATTAATATTTTTTCTTTTGAAGACGGGGGAAACTCCTGACCTCAAGTGATCCTCTCATGCAAGTAGCTGGGACTACAGATGTTAGTCACTCTGCCTGACCATGGTCTAGGTCTTCTAACTCCTTATATTCTGCCCGTTCAAATGCCCCTGCCTTCTTTTCCAAAATATCTTATTCAAATCACAGAGGCCCAGAC